CTGGAAACCAAAAGAAAAGAAACTTGGTGTAGTATGTGACTAAATATCATCACAAAAATATCCAGTTCTGAGCTGGCTTACATGCTGCTTTTGCCCACTCTGTCAGATGGATGTAAGAAGTGTTTCTAGATTAAATTTGTTACTGTTTTCAACTGGCTTCCATTCTTTTTAAAAGCCTGTAAAGACTTTCTATATTCTCTTATCCTACTATGTATATATATTCTTAAATTTTTGCATAAGTCTTGTATTTAAGTGGAAAACATAATTCATGGGTTGAGTGGAAAATATAATTCTTGAGTCAAGTTTAATCTTGTGTATTGTTTGAGAAATATTAAGCTTGAATTCTAATGCCCGGTAAGTGATGGAAACCTGTTTTGAAACTGATCCTACCTGGAACATGCTTGGTAGAGTTTCAGAACTGACAAATGTAGTAAATCTATTTTATCTAGTTCAATTGTATTATGTGGCACAAAAGGTTCAGAATGCAACTCTTCACATACTGAAGTTGGAACAATGTATTTTTACTTGTATAGTAGTTATAAAAATGACCTCTGAAAGTAGGAGAGGAGATGTCTTAAATAAGAAAGTGACTTTGTAGAATATTTGCATGCATATTTAAAAAATGGAAAAAAATGGTTTCTTTTAGGACTCTCTCATTCCTGGGGATGAGTTTATGTCTTGCCTTGATGTTCATTTGCTCTTGGTACTATGCTTTGATTGCCATGCTAATCGCAGGATGTATTTACAAATACATAGAATATAGAGGGTAAGACCATATATCTTATTTTATATTTAATATTTGTAATAATGAGCAAAAAGCATTTTTATATAAAATAGATGCAAGTGAAGTAATATAAATAGAAATTAGACCTTACCCTGTTTCAGACAATACCCTTGTTCTTAAGGGTTATATGCTTGTGAGTTTTGATTTCTCTGGAAGTTCTGTTCCAAAATCCCTAACAGCCAGAATTAATTGAAATAACCACCAGTAAGGCTAGGAAATCTTACCTGAACACAGATTATGGTCCAAAATGTTACACAATAACATAGGTTTTGGTAGTTCAGTATTCAAACATTTTCCCCCTCCCCCCCCTTATGTTAGGAAGAAACTATTACAAAGCTTTACTTAGTAACTTGTGCCAAAGCCCTGAAACTCCACTTTTGCATGGACTTTTGCACTTTTTAGCATGAATCATATTGAATAATCTAGAGCACCCACTGAAAATGATCTTTTTTTTTTCCTGAAGACCAGATGATCTTTAAGTTGCAAAATACTCTTTGTATGTGTCCATTGTCAAATGTGTGTAATAGTGACCCACAGCTGTAAGAAATGCCAGGCAGTAGGAGACCTAGCATGTTCGGTTCATCAAAAGAACATCTAGGGATGATTTTGATTGATATGATATATTTTTCCTTGCTTAAAAAATGCTAAAATCATTCTAGTCAAAAAAGAGTATGACCTAGGAGCAGGAAATTGAAGACAGACAAGCTGTTCAGATAAGTAATCAAGCATGAGTCTTTAATTCTGTGCTTAAACTGTAAGTGGCATAAAATGCTCAGCGCTGTGAATTTGCTATCATTTAATATCTCCAGCTGCAGACTAGATGCTTTACTGGATCATATTTTCTAATGCAGCTCCAGTTACCTGGCTTCAGTGCAAGGAATTTCTCTTACCTGTTTCAGCGAGGTAGTCTAAACACATGATACAGTTCTGAGTATGTGTGTGTATGCAGGAATACACAGAGGCAAGATCATATGTACATCCCAATTCTTATGCACACTCTGTGAATGTTGGAACTTGGCCGTCACATCTGCCCTATAGAAAGAGATTTTTTTTCTTGCAGAATCTCAGCTTCTTACCTCACTGCTGCTTCAAGTGCAGGGGCTGATCTGGCTAAGTACAAAAAACCCTAAAGCTCTAAAAGATGCTGTCTTCATAAAATCTCAATTTTTTTATTTTAATTTTTAGTTCACTAAACATGACTGTCTGTCAGTGGCTGTTTTAATATCCACTTTTTTCTTTAATAGCTTTATTATATAGTTTGACTTATTTCATCCAAATTCTGAAAGAGGGCTAGAGGTACCAAAGTTTGGTCAAAATTCATGTAGTGAAATGAGGGAGAGATGGGGACAGGAGGGAAAGCATGAGACGGATGGGGAGAAAGAGAGGAGGATGGAGCAAGGGTGAGATCAACCAGAAGTAGCATACCCTAGAAGGAAAAAAAAATAACAACAACAAGAAAAAAAAAATCCTACAACATGAGTTTAACCATTCTCTGTTCTGTCTGACTGACCACCTAGTATATAGCATAGCTTTGTACTGGGAGAAAGAGCAGTGGAACGTATAGAGGGATTCAAAGCGGTTGGGAGGGAAGGTAAAGCTTTAGGGGCACACGAGAGAGAAGCTGGCAAGGAAAGGAAGTAGAGAATAATGGTATAATGGTGGGGGAGGAAGATACAGGACACATCCATAGAAGTCAAATTTCATGTATTCATTCTACTGCTTTAAGTAGCTGTCATGATTACAGAAAATTTGAAATATAAATAGAACATAAGTACTAAATGAACAGATATCTTGAAAGGAACTGAAACTTTCAGATTTGTTAGCCTTCATTTATAATTTAAATCTAAGATGAGTTTTTTTCCAAAGTGTTCACATAGTGTTCAATGACACTCTTTATCCCTTATATAAGAAAATGTACTTAATTAGTATAAGCAAACTGCACCTGTTAATGGGATCTCTTTTCCTGCACCCCCAAGAGCGGAAAAAGAATGGGGTGATGGGATTCGAGGCCTGTCCTTGAATGCAGCTCGCTATGCTTTACTTCGTGTTGAAGATGGTCCTCCTCACACCAAGAACTGGAGGTAAGAGTGCTGTGCCTTTTAAGTTCACACAGTTGTAGAAATATGTAAGTCTATCAGGAATACTGCTGGAAGCTTTAGTAGCTAAGGTGAGCTTTACCATCAGAATAACACTAACTTGGGCATGGCAGGGATGTGGTCGCAATTTTATTATTTTACTGTAATAAAGTCAAGCTCAGCTAGTGAGTTTGCTAGGACTATGTCAGACTTCTATAAGCAAATAAACTGAAATTTAAATGTAGGTGATGACAGTTTTCTAAAATGGAGAAGAATTTTAATATTTACTCAGACTTTTAGATTTACAGGAACAGTTACGAGAGACTCGCTATCCTTATAACAGAAAGATGCTGCAATTTCATGTCTCTTTTCTTGGTTCTATATATTGGGAAATATGGGCAATATGTTGTGTAAATATACAGAGGATCCTTTATTTGTGCAAATTCAATTGTTCTGGAGAGATTCTTGGTATGTACTGTAGATTTAATTTAACAGTAACACTTTCTAAATTGCTTAGCTGTTATTAAAACAAAATTCACATTAAGAATGCGTTTGTATATAATTGGGATAGATGTCTGTTGCCATTCTTGTAATGTGCTGCTTTTACTTTTTAGAATATTTTCTCAAAGGCAACACAAAGTGAGATGGATTTAAAAAAAAAAAAAAAAAAAAAATTGTACATTGTCACTTGGGTCGATACAAGCCTTATGGAGATATAGAAGGACAAATGCAGAGTCCAGTACCTGGGACAGACTAATCCACTGCATTGTGCAGGCTGGGGAGCAGCTCTGGTGAAAAGAACCTGTGGTTCTTGGTGTGTACTAAACTAAACATAAGCCAGCATGTGCTCTGGCAGTGGGAAAGGCTGCAGCATGCTGGCCTGTATCAACAGGACTGTAGGCCGTATACTGAAGGAAGTAATAATTCTTTATTCATACTCATTAGAACACATCTGGCACCCCAGTATAGGGAAGATACTAATAAACCAGAGCAAATTCAGCAGAGGACCACCAAGATGGTTGGGGACATCTCTGTGGGGAGAGGCTGAGGGAGCCAGACGTTTCAGCTTTGAGAAGAGGTGGCTTAAGGGGAAATGTAAAAACTAATTATAAGACAGCCAATAAACCTCCAGGGCCTAAAAGGAGGTACTGAGAAGACAGGAGGATACTCCTTATAGTAGCGTATGGTGGGAGAATGAGATAGTGATAACGGGGGGAAAAAAATTGTCATGAGGACAATTAAGCATTGAGAGAGGTTGCTCAGAGGTTGTGGAATCTGTCCTTGGAGGTTTTTGTGATCCAGTTGGGCAAAGCCCTAAACCACCTGATCTGAACTGAGTGTTTATCCTGCTTCAAGCAGCAGGTTGTACTAGATGGCCTCCTGAGAGCCTTTATTTCAGTTCAAGATTTTGTTAGTAAAATCATTCTAGTAAGGTAGCTTTGCAAAACTATGGTATGATGGCTCAAGAAGGTATTCTGTACATTAAGTATTGTTGCTATTGCAAATTAGATCTTTGCTTGATAGATGAATGTTTGCCATTGAATCAAGCATTCAGTGTGTGTTATTGTATTTGTTTCAATTGTTCAGTTTCCCTGCTTTTATTTTTACATATATATATATATATACACACTTACATATATATATACACACACAGACATATATGCTTACTTTTGTGTGTGTATATGTATATACGTTTCTTTCTTTTGCAGACCTCAAGTTTTGGTCTTGTTAAATCTGGATTCTGAACAGTTGGTGAAGCATCCTAGATTGCTTTCTTTCACCTCGCAGTTGAAGGCTGGTAAAGGGTTGACTATTGTGGGATCTGTGCTTCAGGGAATCTACTTGGATAAATGTGCAGAAACCCAGAAAGCTGAAGAGGTATGTAAAAGCTTACCGCTTAGAAATACCTGTAATTTTCCTTAGTATTTAAAAGTTAAATCTGGATACCTGATACTTTTGAAATGGAGCTAACTGCTTTGAAGCATAGAATAATACACAAATTTTGTCTATAAACACAATCAAGAATTATATCTATAAAACCAGGCTGGTATGCTACAGCAAAAAATTTTATGAAATTTTCCAGTAGAATGAAACAGGCAGATACTTCTTACACTTTCAGTATTGAGGGCCCTGTGCTCACAGTCACATTAGTCCTCAAAAAGGCTGAGCAGTAGTTTTTTGTAACAAATTGCCTTATAAAGAACACAAACTTATTAATTTAACAAATCCAGATGTTTGACACAAATTAATTCTCTGGATATATACTTGATATTGTTTTATGCATTGCCATAGAAAAGTGCACTGGAGCCAGGGTTAGGAACAGTCTTTCCCTGAATCCTAATCTATTACCTTAGCTATAAAAAGGATCCTTTTTCTTGAGATTCTCAAATTCATTTTTTTCCTCCTTCTAACTTGCCCCTATATACCCAGAGAGGGTAGGATGAAGTAGAAAACAGTAACTTGTCGTGTAACTTAAGATAGCATCTAACTCTATGTACAAACACAGCTGAACTTAATTTAAATGTTTACTTGGGGGAGTGGTTTTTGTGTTACCTTGTCAGTATTTGACTTTGCAACATGGTTGGAATTGCATAATAGTGCACTTATGAGAAGCCCCTGAAAGTGTCTGAACTCAGAATTTTAAATCTACCCCCCCACAGTGGAAAAAACTGAGCTTAGTAGAATGAACTTCCCAAGATCCGATATTAATGTAACTTGAGCTTTCAATGTAAAACAAGTTTCCCTTTTTGTTCAGTCTTAAATGACTTATGTACTTTTTCATTTACTCCAGTATAGTGGCAACTCTAGTATAGAGAGTTAAACTTGCTTATCCTGCAAGGTCTCCTACTCCTAGCTTTAGGGTGGTGAAACTTTCATAGAAAATATCATATTTCCTCTATGTTATTGAGTATTGTTTAAAAAATTCTATTGTCTGTAGAAAAGTAGTATAACTTTATTCTAAAAGTAAGCTTTGATTGCAGTTATACCTTCCATAAGTGGTTAATATCCTCAAGATTGAACTGAGTATCAGTTGAAGTGCATACTACTTTGATTCAAGGCTGCTTAAATTCTCTGAAGACTCCTCTGGCTTATTCAGACCTGGCATCTCTAAAATAGATGAGCGTTTGACTTGCCAAAGCTAACTGCTCTCTACCTCCTGTTCTCTTGTATTGTTTTCCTCTTTCTTAGTATTCAGTCTTGTCCCTCATTGTGGTTAGGATAACTTAAGTGTGAAGCTAGGCAGCCTAACCAATTTCATGAGATAAAGGCTCCGGAAGAGCAGTTAGCTTGAAAACGTAGTGGAAAAAGTCTCGTGGTAATATAGTGTGAAAATAACCATTGCTGAGCTGTTAGTATCAACAGCCTGTGTAGCTGGAAAACAAAACCAAGAACATGATCAGGCCTCTGAAATAAAGTGGAGAAAACCGTTTAATCAGAAATGGTTTACACTGAGGGTTTGATGTGTGACCTCTAGCTGGCTCTACTAGAAGTCAACCACAGCTCAGAGATGGGACAAGAATGGATTTAAGGGAGAGCTAATCCCTGCATTCTCCAGGAAGTCAGTTGTCCTGGCATCAAGATCGAGGAAACTATTGTTTTTAAAACAGAAACCAAGCTGGGTTTTAGAAGACTGATTGTCTGGAGGGCTGGTTGGCTGGTTTTAGAAACGGTGTTTTCCAGCTGAAATTCTCCAGAAAGATCTGTGGGAAATCAAGGCTTCTTATCTCTTTCTTAAAAAGAAAGAAAGAAAAAGGCCTATTTAGCCAGCTGGTATGGCTTTGAGGATACTTAACTCTGAGTATGCAAGCAGTTTGCTATCAAATTCTGTGAAGTGTTTTGTCTTGGTTTTTTGTTCTTGCACTGAACAGAATTTTTGATGTGGAACCAAGCCACTGCCAGTCAATCTGCCCTTGCAGGTTTTTGGTAGGACTTTTCTTGAAGTTGCACTCCTGTTCTACTGGGAGTCTTTGTGCTGTCAGGCACTGGAGGAGCCGAGACCAAAGAACTGTCCCACTTTGTTTGGCAGCAGTCCCCGTGCCTGACTTGTGGTTGTTCTGGGGATATGGAGATGGAGATATGCACAAGGGACAGCAACTGGAGAACCACCTGATGAGACCTTTAGTGCAGTGAGGCAGAGTTATGAGCTTTTGCAGGTGTGAATCTGGGTGTAAAAAGAGGAGCCATGAATTATGAGGGCTGCTAAGGGGAGAGCTGGCACAAGATGCCACTAGTTTAGGGATAACTTGTCCCAGCAGACCATGAGCGGAATGAGCTACACCTCCAGAAACTGGCAAAACGCACAGCAGGATTGATCATGCTTCAGTCCTCAATATCCTCTGCCTTTCTGACACAGCTATGAAGCCAGTGAACAAACTTGGTGATTCTGTCCACTTCACAGGCTGATTCAGCTCAGAAAATAGGAATGAATTACTACTGTTTTTTCTGTAGTTTAGGGATAGTTTGACTTTAAAAATCTCATCCTTTCCAATGATTCATGTTGGGAGGTCAGCATGGTGTTGAGGTGAGGGGGAAGCACCAAAATTCTAAAGTTATCTTTTAAAAAATAAAAAAAACTAATTAGAAATTCAGAGGGAGAGACATTGAAGTCATGCAATCAAAAAGTCAGAAATGCCAAAACTGGTGTTCCCTTTAATACTTTCCCCTTTTCAATGGTGCTTTTAAATTACTGCAATAAAACAAAGACATAACCAAGTATCTTTTGTGTTTGTCAGTATTCAGTGAAGGGGACCCATGCTGAAACTGGAGGGGAGGTGAAGCTAGAAAATTCATCTTATTATTCAGCCAATGATTCTAATTAACATCTCTGCAAATCTTTTTTTCCTATGTGATGGGAGTTAACTGAGAATCAACCTGTTGATGTCAAAATTGTTTTAGGAGCTTTTGCCTCAAATACTTCAAAAGTCCTTGGCACCCCTATTTGGAGTTGGAAGGGGAGGGAAAAGTGTAGGACCAGTTCTTTGCAATGACAATATTTCCTGAAACATTATGTTTTATCTGTCAGCAACACTTTAGCTCTGCCTTCCCTGAAGCAGTGTTGCTTTATTCATCTTTGTCAATGTGATCTTACTCATATCTTGTTCATTCTTCTTTGGGAATAAAAGGCTGCGTATCTGATGTAATGAAAAACCTCTGCAGTCTGTGCAGATCTATGGGTCCACACATCCAGTGTGGATGTGTGTTCTTTAACAGTTATCAAAGAATTATGTCCATGCCTCTAGAATTAGAGTGGTTTATTGACATTTGCTCACTGTTTTGAGTGTTTTACTGGTATTTAGTGCTGCTGTTCCCTGTGATACTTATCAGTGTTGACTGTATTTGTCTATGTGTAATCTTCCTTTCCAATAGAACGTTAAAACATTGATGGGAATAGAAAAGACTAAAGGATTTTGCCAGATTGTGGTATCTCCAAGTTTCAGAGATGGAATATCCCATTTGATTCAATCAGCTGGTCTAGGAGGAATGAAGCACAATACAGTCCTGATGGCATGGCCACAGTCATGGAAGCAGACAGAAAACCATTTCTCTTGGAAGAATTTTGTTGGTATGTATATATTGACTTACACGGTTGTAAAACAACTGTTGACCTAATGTATTTGCTGTATAAAGAATGCTAAATATCCATTTTTTGATGTGTTTTTTTCTGTGCTGCTTATGTCACTTCGATTTCACATGGAGTGGATTTTTTTTCAGCCCAGGATTTTTTTATGGGCTCTGTAACCCACCAGGTCTCTCTCTTAACATCTGGAGTGTTTCTTGTCAAGGTATCTGCATGGGTGGCTACTCCTTATGAGGACTTCAGTTCTGCAATTTGACCTGGTTTGGGGCTGCTTTGGTTATTCTTAACTATTCTCTCATCCTGCAGAAAACAAAATTAAGCCACCATCTGTTTTTGTTAGTCTTGCTTCCAAATATTTTTGTTATGTTCTATTAAAAAAAAAAAAAAAAAAACAACAACAACAACTGCAGCTATTACAAGCTAAACAATGTGATGTTGGTAGCACCGGTTGTAGTTTAACTCTGTTCTCCCTTGTACTGGGCGCAATCTGATGTTGCACTAAAATATCTTTCAGAAAGGCATCCATTCCTGATGTGGGGGGACTCCCTCCCCCCAAATATCTTGAAGAGTCTAAATCATCTTTGGTAGCTTGTTATGATACTTAATTGGTTTTTCTCTACTTTTTTCCCCAACATATGTGGTAGCAGGTAATTGCTGAGGTTATCTTTCTCTTGATTTTTCTCTGAAAAGCATTGGAATGAAATTATCATTATTCCAAGCTTTTGAATATCCTAAGATTATTGCAAGTAAGTATTAATGAGCTGATGATCTTTTTAGAGATGTATTGTACGTGTAAACCATTTAAATCTGCGATTTCTAAGTGTTGATCCCTAATAGTTTAGTTAAGAACTTCTCTAGTACTTCATCCACTCTCATACACAACTGAAATATCACATGTCTTCCTTACAGATACAGAACAAGACTGTTCTGTCTACTGTGCATCATTTTCTTTCTCTTCCCTCCTGAACACTGGGATTACATCATTGTGGAGCAGTCTTCAATTCCTAATCTGAACAGGCCACAGTATTTTCCTTAATGTTTTTAGCTTCCCTCTGCTTCCTATTATGTTCCTGTTTGTTTAAAAAGCATCTTTCTCTTTAGCCATAACTTCTCTTGTTCTCCCAAGCAGGTCATTAAACCCAAGATGTCCTCTTTCATCAAGGCAGAATCTGGGAGGATTTGAGTTTTTGAACTTTTTATTATTTCTTTTAACAAACAAACTGAATGAAAACCAGAAGCTCTTCATCTAATGTCTTGTTTTCTGTTGCAGACACTGTACGAGAAACAACAGCAGCTCAGCAAGCTCTGTTGGTTGCTAAAAACATTGACTTGTTTCCAACAAATCAAGAACGTTTTACTGATGGAAACATAGATGTATGGTGGATTGTTCATGATGGTGGCATGCTGATGTTGTTGCCTTTTCTTCTTCGACAGCACAAGGCAAGGACAACAGAAAATGGCTGGGATTTCATTTACTTGCACTATAGTTCAAATTACTTTTCACGTTGGAAGAATTACGTATGGTGAACAGTAATCATGTTATGAATTCTTAAATCATCTCTTTTATAGGTTTGGAGAAAATGTAAAATGCGTATCTTCACTGTAGCTCAAATGGATGATAATAGCATTCAAATGAAGAAGGATCTACAGATGTTCTTGTATCACCTGCGACTGAATGCTGAAGTAGAAGTTGTTGAAATGGTATGTTACTGCATTTTTTTGGATTCTAATTGAGACTGCAGCCTAGTTTCCCAAGTTTAATCTTTTTCAGTTTTGTATTTGGGCTAACTTCTTTTAGTTTCAAAAAAATCCAGTCTCCCGAGTACCCACCAAGAAAAAGAAAAGGTTTTAAGAGCAATGTTATCTCAACTGTGTCACAATGCTAGTGTACATGGTAGTAGGTTTAATGGTATGTTGGGTAGTGTTGAGCACTATTCAGGTATTAACCCTATGGAGGACTAGTCCACGGAGATATTCCCATGTGGGTATAAGAATTCCTTAATCTAGAGAGATGTTCAAACTGCAGTTGGAGAGAGGGACATGTTTGGTTCCAGCCCTTCCTCATGCTGGATGCCAGGGATTATTAGATGCAGAATGTTGAGCTGTTCATTTCAGTGCCTGCCTGCTTGCTAAAAACTCAAGGTTTTTCTTTCCTGAATGAACTACGTCACCAGGAAAACATAGCCACAGATTCTGCTGTCGCAGATAGAGAGAAGGATACAGAAAGATGCCTTCTGCAGTATCTTTCTTATATTTATCCATTCAGCAGCTTGGGAAGGCTGCATGTGTTGTGTAATGTGTAGAGAGATCCTTTGGAGTAGCCTGTAAGATTGCATGCAAACAGTGAGTGAATATTCTTCCCCAGCTTTTCCTTCAGTTCGTATTAAAAGACTAGCCTTATGAGTTTAAAATTACGTGTATAGAGTTTTCTCCTGTTTGGAAGACTTTATTTACTTGTTCTTGCTTAAGACTTTTTTAGGATTATATGTCATATGAATTTTTCTGGAAAAAAAAATGAGGAAAGACAAGTGCTAGTAACACTGTATAGTCAAGCCACAAGTTTATTATGTAATACATTAGTGAAATCTTTAGTGATAATTCATCCAAGATGATTTCATTCACTTGGAATTTATTCCGTCAGGAATGGAGGTCGGCAGTACTCCTAACCCCATTGTTCTGGGACTGCATTTGTCTTTCTCTGGAAAAGACTGAAGGGATGTGAGGGAAACACGAGAAATCACCTTATTTCACAAAACGTGGCATTCAGTTCCAGTCTTCCCCTGTTGGACATGTTTCTCCCTTTTCTCTAGTTCATTTGGAAACTAGATCCTCTTTATTGAATGTGTATATGCATCGCTCGCTTTCCAAATTGTGACAAAGTGAATTTTACAGCTTTTTTTTTTTTTTAAACTGACCTGAACCCCTGAAAAGAGGGATAAACTGGTAGTCTATCCAGGCCTATTTGATAACAAAGGAAAAACTTCCTTTCTGGCTCTCACAAGGTGACTAGCATGATACCCCAAAGTAAGACCAGACATCTTTGACACTTGTTCCAGAGTGGGATGAAGAAGCCAAGTTTTGTTCTTTCCAGGAACTTGAGGAGCCTATGAGCCATTTGACTTCTCAAAGATTTATCATGCTAATCGGCTATAAAGCAAGACTGAAGAATCACTTAAACCGATAAAAATGACTTACAAAAAACTAATTACAGTTTCCATGAGTATGAGATGTGGGGGAGTCTTTTTTTATTTTGAATGGGACATATATGACTAAAAGCCATGGCACGTGCAAGTAAAAAAGATGTGACCCCAAGAAAAGTCCAGACTGGCTTTTAAGGCAGAAGTAGTTTAGGAAGCACAGCTGATGTTTATGCGAAGCATATTTAACCCTGTGGATCTTCCAAAAGATAGAGAAATTAAGCAACACTGATAACACAGGTGACTTTGCTATAGGTGGCTACCACTGTATTTTAGCTTTTGCTGTTCAGGTGAGAATATAAGCAGGAATTTCCTCATAAATGCTTTTATTGTTGAACCTTTCCTATTGGTGAAAGGACAGTGTTATTTTGTGGCTCCGAACTGTTTTTAAAGACAAAAGCACACACATGCGCAGGAGTCAGCAACGCAGACAGTTTAAAGGAAAGTCTTTGTCCCTTTCCCACTTCTGTATCTGGTTTGGAACAGAACAAAAAAAAGTCTACCCTAAGTACCTCGAGTTCAGCTGATATCGCATCAGTTTTGGTATAGTAGCACAGTTCATAGTAGCAGACTGCTGTTTGAAGATGAAGACTTAAAAAGATTGAAGACTGAAATGATCAGTTAAATATAGACTTGGGATCACTGTGATGCCATAAATTAATGCAGACTGAATGCAGGAGTGAATGGGGAACACTAAGTGTTGTTCTTTTAACTAAGACTGCCTGTCTAATGTTTCTAATGCTAATCATTTTTGCAGTTTGAAAATGATATTTCTGCATTCACGTATGAAAAGACGCTTGTGATGGAGCAGCGATCTCAGATG